CCATATCCTTCGAGGTAAGACTAAAGCGTTTTTTTATCCAACAGATCAATTTTGATTGCTGTGTTCATGACCAGGACACATTAATGCTGCCTTTAAAATAAAATAATATTGTTTGTTATGATTATTTCTTATGGCATCGCAAGTTGAATATTTGTATTCGCGCAGCATTTTCAACAAAAACCTACTTTAATCAATCGCTCAAAATTAGTTTCATCGTATCGTGCAAGTTTCTGGGATATTTTAGAAATCCTGTCAATAATTTTGTTTTCGTTCAACGAAAATTTTTAGAAATCCTGTCAATCATTTTTTATTTTAATGAAAATTTTTAGAAAGCCTGTCAATTAATTCTTATTCGTTCATCTAGATTCAAAACCTAGAAACCACATCTCAAAACGATCACCCATCGAGACCAAGGTGACCTGCGTGTTAGCGTTGGCGTGACACGTCGATCACGGAGCACGGTACGTATGTGACCTGCAAATTATCGTGAGAAAAACCTCGAAGCAAACATGTGCTATATCAAAGCTTAAATGAATTCATGCGACTTATTCTGCATAAAGATCGTCGCAAGATTACCCTCTACCCATTAGTACTTCGGCCCTCGTCTTGAACACTTCCCCTGCCCTGACCGCTGCAGTGAACTTGAGCGAGTGAGTGCGGATTTCTTGAATTTTTTTCCTGATAACTGAGAAAAAGGGATTCAAATTTGAAGAATCGAAATCGAAATTTGAAATTCAAAATTGAAGAATGATGTTTTAGATGTTTGTCCGAAATTTGCAGTGGTCGTAATGCCTGTAAATTTCAGCATGTGCTTACGAATTTTTTCTGAAGCTATTTTTACAACCAAAATAGAAAATTCGGGATGTTGATGGTCAATACTCATGTTAAAATTGTCCCAAGCTGAGGTAGTTCGCTCGTGCAATGAATAAATTTTTCATTGTCACACAAAAAAACTGCCAAAATTTTTTTCAAAATGTCCAAAAATTTTCAATATCAAATTGAAATTGAGTTGAACGTACAAACTGTCCCCAACAGTTTGGGGTTGGGGTCTCTTCACTGTTTGTTTTAGAGGCCACTTTGTACACCCAGAAATATATGGGCGCATATTGTCCAAATTTAATTACCACAGCACAAGCACGGGCGTCCTTGTCGTCGAATGGGATGTCGAAGTTGCACTGAAAATCTCAAACAAATGTAAAAAGTGTATCGCCTTTTGGATAGAGTTTCTCTCATTTTTATGAGTGTACACAGTATTTAAAAGGAGATGGTAATAGGTTTCTTTTTTTCTTGTGCAACAATATTTGAAATTATTTCAAATATGTGTTTATAATATTTTCATATATATCGCCATATATATAATATCGCCATATCAAAGTAAATAAATGAAAATGCAGGGTACAATATATTTATAAATGATCTCAAATTTTCTTTCCATCCTTTATTTAATTTTATCAGTGGAAATTATTTATATCTAATTTCATTGAAGGCGACCATCTCCAGATAATCTATATGTTCACACCAGAAGATCTAAGACAACAGTTAATTTATTGCACATAATAACGCTTTACTCCTCGTATTTCAAGAGGCAAATATCCCATGGGACGTTGGTTTACCACTAAGATCATTACTGTGATTTGTAGACAATAAAACCTGCCTAGATAATTTATCTCAACTTGCAGGTGCTTGAGTTTTTTCTCAGCCGCGAAGGCTGACATATTGCACCTTCAGGCCTACAGGCTGCGATAAAATATTCTGGCCCACTTATATCTTGAAGAAAAATTCAACGAATTCAGTCAAAGAATCTCGTTAGTTAAAAATTAACAAATGAGAATTGGAGAGCTCGAAAAACAATACAATCATATGTCAAATAATTGCCTTCATTAAATGCAAAAATTAATTGATTATTCTTCCCTAAACTTTGATTAGGTTTGTTAGATTATTAAATGTGCAGAGTTACTGATAACAACGCGAACTGTGTTTTAAATTTTTATTTAAATTTTTAATATTTCAAAAATAAGATAGATCTTACAGTTTTGTCTTACAGTCGTATTTCATGCTATTTGCTTAAGACCGAATTAGTCATTCGAGTACTTGCATGCTGACACCAAGTGATCGTAACGGATGATATAAAAAAAATTTGCAAACAACGCTTAAAAGATTTTCTTTCGGATGCACAAGGCGCGTACAGAAATACTTCATTTGTTCTCAGTAACCATTAAACGCTTTTTTCAATGTTCTGAATCCTTGTCTACCAATAAATTGAAAGAAATTCACCCAAATCACTAATAAGTGTCAGTTCATCAAGTCACCTCGTTACTGAATGAAACTAAACGAAAATTTTGGCAGAATTGAATCTCCCCAAAATGTCACACTAAATAAAATTTGGCAGCTTCTTAATATGTTCGTATGTTGGCTTGATAATGAAATAGGCATTCAGTTACAAGGAATTTGATTTGTATACATATATATGCCGTGTATCTCGACAAAGTGAGTTTGTCGGCCAAAAATATAGCTGAAAAAACCGCTGCATGACGGAGAGTAGCGACCCAAATCGTTCCTGAGGGCATCATTGCTCATGTTCCGACGATAGCCATTTGTCAGCAAAGACCCAAACGATGAACTATTTTTCATAATATATTCAAGCATGAATTCAATTTTCCGAAATTTATCATCACCAGCAAAATATGAAAAGTCAAGTAGGGTATAAATGACACTATAAGAATAGTATGGATAGATCCATATTATTGGGAGGAGCAGCGGTTGCAAATCTAAACAAAATTTGGGTCAGTGAATCCGAAATTCAGATGAATATCAATCTTTCAGAAATTTATATTATTGTTTTATACAAATTATACGTTATTATTTCATTTGAAGCAATAGATCTTCTTAAAAATTTCACTGAAACTTAATCAGGGATTCTGAAGCAAACGCCAGCAACACAAAATAAGGCAAATAAATGATTTTTTAAATGCCTTAGAATCGTAATGAGTATGGTTTTAACACAATAGATTGCAATTTTATTGCTGTTTTCTTCTCAAAGGGAATAAAACCCGATTCAGTCATAAGAATCCTAACGAAAAAAGTCATAACAATCCGTTGCAGTCATAAGAATCCTAACAAAAAGAAGTCATAACAATCCGTTGCAGTCATAACAATCCGTTGCAGTCATAACAATCCTAAACAGTGAGAAGTGTTAGGTTTACACCAGTAAGGCAGAGGGTGAAGAAATATTTCAGTACTGACTGATCAATCAGGAAATCCGCCCTGGCAGGTACTTGTTGGGACAACTTGGACAAAAGGTGCCACCCTGACACTACAGTCCAGCGCCTCGAGTGACTAACGATCCCCGTTTGTCTCTAAACCAAAAATTGACCCTCAAAAACAAGACGCTGTTTTTAGCGGTGTACAAGTTATTCGACAACTTGGCTGGAGACCATGAATGTTTCTTCCTCGAGTTTGCTTCAATTCTATCATCTGTTTTTGGCCTTATTAAAGAGCTTTGTACACAAATTTACGAGTACCATGATTGATTTGAAGAGCATCGTTTTACAATCACTGAACTAGAAATGGCAAGTAATTAAATTGTAACGCATACAATAAAAAAAAATAAATAACGAAAATGCAATTTAATCTAAATTAAAATTTATTATTAATTTACTTAAACCTAATTCAGATTCGTTTGGAATTGAATCGAGGAAGTGTATGGGGTTGTAGATGCGTGGGTGAACATTTCTTCGGCTGTGTCGCCGATTCACGGGCCATTATTTCAAGTTGGGTAGAAGGTTGGACCTGACATCCGTGGCATATGCCCTGAGCTTGAAAGGTCGTCCTAACTACAAGGACTCGAATCGTTGATTTTGTGTGAGTGCAGTCGCGTTAGGGGTTCGTTTGGTGAAGGTCGTTAGACTCACAAGTGTCTTCATTCTGTGACAAGATTGACAAGTTGTAACTTTTTGTTGATTAACCGAATGTAAGTTTAATTCATAACAAAGCCACGATTTGAAAGAAGTGAACATTCAGCCAACATATACAATATTTTTTCGTCGACGCTAGAAATTTTTGAAGTTTTGTCAATGGTAGACAAAAAAAAACAACAAATGTGTTCATGTATAGGCATTGTGATGAAACTAAACCAAACTAAACTCAAATGGTTCGATAAATCTAAATCAAGAAATAAACATACCTAACACTAAACCTCTGACGGAAAAGAGATTTGTAATAAAATCAACAAATTTTTCAAAAATGTTATTTTCTTCACATCCAGACAAACTGCAAAATACTATCTATCTATGTTCTGGTATTTGTTAGTCTGAATTCAAACTATTCGTGCAATTCGCCCGCTAACGCTCTTTAGGCTTTTTGAAAAAATGTTCCAAAGAGGTCAAATGTATTCATTTAACTTCATTTAACTTTTCCGTGAATGTTTGAAGCTTTAAGTGTGTTTCACTTTGTGTATTTCCTGCACTACAAAAGTTACAACTGATATTTTTTAAACTCTATTACTTACTGGAAGGGAAATGTAAACTTTTTTATAAAGAGACTCAGGTTCAATATAAGTAAAAAATATCCTGTCATAGGTATTGTTTGCACTCACATGACGTTTTATTATTTTCCAGATTCCAGTCCATCATCGGGAGGATAGTGCCTGTACTCAAGCAGTCAATTGAGTTTACACGGCCTGAAATTGAAGTGAAGTGCTGAATGCGAGCCGAAAAGACGAATACGAATTCATTCACGTGACACCGGCATATATTTGCTGCAAACCCCGACTGTTTTATTTGTCCTGAACACCTGCTGTTTGAATTGCTGTGAACCCCGGCTAGTTTAAATGCTGTACACCCTGGCTGGTTTAATTGATGTAAACCTCGGCTGGTTGACGCGACGTCAACTCCAGGCTTTTTAAACTTCAGTGAATCTCTGCTGATTAAAATACTGCTAGCCCGCGCTGATTAAATTGTACCACAAAATTTGAACGGTTGAATTTCTGTGTGACCCAGTTGTTTGGATCTCTATAAACCCGGGCTGGTTGAAAATTATTGCCGACTGACGGAATTACTGCACCCATGTCATCCTCGATGCAGAACGTCGATCCAAGAACGGAGCAGCATTATAATCCCCATCCCGAATATCCCAATGAAATTGACGGCAAGCTGGCAGCGATTTCCACTCCATACGGTGAGTGTTTCACGGCTAACTAATAATTATTATGGAATCAGAGAATGAATTTCAATAATTAATACTGTGACTTCGATATGATGGAAGCGTTCACATGCTAGTCGTAAACAATCAACATCAATAAACGGATAATTTCTAATATATTTACTCGTACTAATATTTAGATTAATTTGATATGTGTTACTTATCACCGGTGCTATTCAAAGACCACGAAAACCATTTAAATTCAATTTAAAGGCGCACCTGTTAGGAGCAAACCTGTTGAACGTGCAGTTGATGTTTTAGAATACGATTTCAGGTGTTGTGCAAGTTTATATTTGTGAAATTATTATCTGCTGGAAATAATAAATCAACTGATAATTGATATCCTTGAAGCTGAAAACATGGGACCCAACAATTTATAATAAATCTCGACTTGTGAGCAATTTAAACTCTTTAAATTCTTATGAAGTAGGATCACTAACATTAAACTTGAGTGATAGTTTGATTCTTTGACCAGATTGTTGTGATACGATGCTTTAACTCATTTAGGAACTTAAAAGCAAATACAATAGCACAAAAATTGATTTTAAATTTCTGGTTACGTTTTTTTGCGATTAAAGCGAACATCAGATTTTAATACTATTATTTATTTCTTGTATCATCAGCATACTTCAATTTTAAATTGCCAATAACCGTGGAGGCAAAGAAAATGCCATATAGAGGTTAAAATTTCATATCTTCATTTAATATACATGTAATCTTTAAGTTTCTCATCTGATGATTGAGCTGGTATCTGAAATGCAGTGAACTCACTTTGATTTTATTCATTTTTACAACACTTCTCTTTAACTTCACTTCTTGTTTGTCTATCTGTCTGTCTGCTACAAATCTTATAATCGATATTTAACACACTTCTACCTGTCCAATCGATTTGAAATTGGGCACACTTGCGTAAAATTGAAGACAATGCATGAATCAATTGACAGAATAAATAATTTTATAAATAAAAAAATTCAATATTAAAAAAAATCAAAAAAATAATTTCGTCTCCTACCAATCTTATAATCCATATGACACAATTTGACCTGTCCAATTGATCTGAAATTTTGCATAATTGCATAAAGTCAGAGACAACGCATAAATCAATTAACAGAATAAATAATTTTTGGAATTTACAAAATTTTGATATCTTAAGAAAATTTGAAGAATAATTTTTTATTCAATATTTGACAATGAAATTAGAAATTCATTGTACATGTGTAACATCCAAGATACTGGATTGTTCAGAAGTGTTGTCTTTAAAAAGCAATTTTTAAACGCATATTATTATATTGAGACATGCTATTCAATAAAATATTTTACCGTTTTAAAAAACAAAAGAAAATCTTTATTCATATTTTAGTATTAAATACATGTGCAGGTACCAGCAGCCATTACCCGCCTCACAACTGGCCCTACGCAGATCCCCGATATCCTGAACAGATCCCATCAAGCACCACGTCACCATTCACGGTGTATGGTGACCAGGGCGTCAGCGTACCTAGAATGATGCAATCTGGTCACTTCCCTCACCATCACATGAATCCTTATTCTCCCCATCCAGAGCCATCAAGCTACCATTACAAGAGCTGCCCTGAACAACCACTGCAAGTTACCAACTCACTTTGGTCGCACACAACACCGAACGAGTCGTATTTCCCAGCGAGAGAATCTTCGTATGAAAGAGAGATCTCGTTAACTTCTAATGTCGTTTCGTGTGTAATTTCTAACAACTCTCAATCTCCTTCACTGCCCAGTGAGTTATCTGCGTGCCGTTACTCCGCAGATATTCCTTTGACTTCAACTCCATCCAATACTTCAGCTGTTAATTCAACAATCGCAGTGGATTCAACGCAAATCACAAAAAATCCTAAGCTAAAGAATCAAAAGCGAAAAGATCCATCGACCCAAGCAGTTGGCTCGACAACAACAAAGCGCCAGCGAACTCAATACAGCACCTTCCAGTTAATTGAACTGGAAAAGGAATTTCACTACAATTCTTACTTATGCCGGCCTCGGAGGGCCGAATTGGCCAAGACTCTCAACCTGAGTGATAGACAAGTCAAAATTTGGTTTCAAAATAGAAGGATGAAGGAAAAGAAGACAAAAACGACACAGAAAAATTCCCCCGCCGTGAGTTTAAAAAAATCAAACGAAGTAGAAGGTGAGCGAAAAGTTGAGCATAGAGACTGCATGGCTCACTGTGGCCCGGAATCCGTACAATTTTTGAAGAAGGAGAAGAATTCGGATAGCAGTTTGATTCCAGATCATAATCACGCACAGACGAATCATGCTCAACAAAACATGCATGCAAGCTCTCTATCCCTGCAGCCTCCGCAACCATTTTATCATTTCGACCAACAACGTGGAGGCAATGGATACCTGGGTTTTTCACAGCAGTCTTACCACAGTCACGGATCTCATTACGAAAAATTTACTCATAAGTCAAATATGCGTTACGGGAATTGCCCTGACGAAGAACTGCATTTTAACCCTACTCATATGAGACCGTGTGCCGACGCTCGAAACTCTTACGGCCTTGCCGGTCCGGATTCACAAGAAAAATCGACGGAAATAAGACACACCACTTTTGATTCGTATTCTCGATATCAATATTCAAAGAATGATGCTGTCGGAGAGGCTTTTTCCTACGGCGGTCCTTTTGGATTTGTGTCTAACAATTGCTCATTGACGCTACCAAGTTGCATGGCCTCATCTCAAGACGGGCCGAACTATATTTCAAATCCTACGACATCGGTTCAATGGGCGCAAGATCTCCCTCAACACCAAGCGACTATTAAAACCAACTCAAAATCTGCTTCACACTCCCCTTCTCCGGTGAACGCGGAGAGCAGTCATTCTATCTAAGATACCTCATTTCCAGCAAATATTTTTTCCCGTGTACCAATTTCAAGTGTCTATCGGTAGCGACCGAACGAAACCATGCTCAATAAGTCTATTATTAATGATATTCAAAAATTTGCGCAACTTCTAGAATATCATTTTGACATATATTTCAAAACAATAATCATACTCTATAGAAGAAGGAAATTCAGAATATAAATGACCGTTCCGAAAAATATGGAATGAACTTAAAAAATATTTCTTTACCGAGTAAAACATCTCATTATTATCATAATATCATAATTACGATTCATTTTATCAAGAAGTTTCGACAATTTATTGGTTGGAATTTTGTTAGCTACTAAAATATTGATAAATATTAAAGATATTTTGCTAATAAATTGCGACCCAATTAGATGAGTGATGTGCAATATTACTGCTTTCAATAATTCCGCCATTGATGGAAAACACCCCGTTATTTCAACTGCACGACAATTAACATAAGAATAGCACATTCAGCTTCAGTTACAGATTAATGATTGTAAATATATGAGGTTAATCAGCCCTTATGCAGGTTAAAATTATATAATATCTCAAAAGAAACAGGGTAATATTATTATAGCTGTAATAATAACATTAAGCAGACATTTGCATATAAGGGTGTAAAGGTTGTGTATAAGTAGTAAGCAATTCAAGCTTGAATTCTATTCAGTATTGACTTATAAACTACAAGCCTAATTTTAATATATACAGCTTTTGCACATGAAGTAAAAATCACCGCGTGAAAAATAATTAAAAGTAAATCCTTAGCAGCAGAGCAACACCATTGTGCAACATGCATAAAATGAAATGGCATGATCCTAGTACTTCTCGAAAAATTCGAAGTTTGTCACACAACAGAAATAATGTGCAGAAAAAGCATTTATATTATGTGAAAAAAGCATTATAAATAAAATAATTGATGATTAAAATAATAAATTTGGAGTTGATATATCTACAACATTACCATTATTTCTGAACAAAAACAAAAACACTATTCATCATGCTGAATTCTCGTTCAACTTAACGAAATTCTATTATTTTTGTTACATGTACGAGATTGTATTTGATAATTAATGTATTTAGCGGCACAGCATGTCAACATTTCATGTATATTTTTTCATAAATTCCGTTGTAGAAAACCAATATGTTAACGTGTTTAAGCGTGTGTAATAATATATCTCAATTAACGATAAACTATTTTCAGTATCCTTCCGTCATAGGCAACTCAAAAATTTATTCGCGCTTAGGGCAAACGTTATCTATTTAAAGAAACCAATTTATTTATTAATGCATTGCGAATTTTTCCCTCTAAACCAAAACTTAATTCCATTTTCTACTCTCAATTTAATATAGTTGATCGAACTCGTGAACATAAATGAGTTGCCGTAGATTTTATCAACTTTAAAAATACCAGAATTACAAAGTTTTATATATTTACTCCCCACCACTGGACACAGATTCTGTATGAAAAATCGATATCTGTCTATTTCTTATACTTATACAGCAGTGAGTTTTGTGTATGATGTAGATGAAAAGTATGACAATTAATCACAAAATTTTCAATTTATGTAATAATGTTCGAATTGAATGCTTATCTATCCACAAGAAATATAATTTAAAAAATGCGTGATTTTTCAAAACGATGTATAATATTAAAAACAACCATTGTTAGGGCATAGGATATGATTGACCAGCAGTGGATTAAATAGTATTTCTTGTATAGTAAACTGCTTACTAGTATTTCTTGAAAACATGTTGTAATATAAAGAATCACTCATACGGCAACGGACACCAACACCCAGCAGTTCTTCTTTCCTCATTCGATGCAAAAAGTAAAAAAAACTCTTTTGTCCGGTAGAATTCGTACAGAAAAAGACAGAACACTGAGCCTTCCTCGCCCTCTGAGTGATCAGTCAGTAAGCATTGACATCCCCTGATCTGTGATCACTTACAAGAGTCGAGCTGAACACTTCACTGCCTGCGCACGGCGAGCGTTCAGATTAGTTTCATTGCTGATATTTATACAATGATAATAAATTAATTTTCCTTTATTAATACATTTCATTACCATTTAGCCCAACATGATCAATTTTTAAACAAGGCTTGTAATTCAGGGGTTATCCATGTCGAGGACATCACCGGCATTGAGTTAACGCAGGCGAAAATAACGCAGCCATTTAAAAGCAGCACAAATGGTCTAGAATGTACAATTTGGCGAACGAGTGGATTATTAAATCAAATAGTAGCAGATTGAACTTATTGGATTGACAATCGACGCAAATTGCTGAGTTTCAGACGTCATAGTCATTACATTAAATAAATGTAATAAATGAATTACATTCAAGCTTTCCAATGACTGCAGAACAGGAAAAAAAGTTTAGACAAAAAGTTTAGTATGAAATTTTCTTGAGGTTTTGCCGTCATTTTTGCGCTCAAGTCAAGGGAAGCAAATGGCGCGATAAGTTGTCCTGATTTCGACAAATATCTGCCAGTCGGCCGACCCAAATCAGCTCTTATGTAAATCAGACTCTATAACGGAGACCGGAGACGCTGCCATAATTCCTGTTGCTCTTATTTATTCTGAAGCTCTTAGAGGAGCCGTACGAAGCTCATGACTCTTAAGGAATCTTGAGGAAATAACAAAAATTATATCCAGTTATCTCACTTTGATACCTGCTGGCTTGAGTTGAATTGTGCATGAGCTGTGACTCATTTTCAAAATAATTAAAACAAATGTAATCGTTTAAATAAATTGAAAAGGGCATAATGAGTTAATTTAAACTTAGTTTTCAGATGGAAACAAAAATTTCACAATAATATTTACTCAGGTCTATCAGCAAAATATTTTATTTTTGTGTTAAAAATAGTATTTAGGCAACATCTAGGCTCAGTTCTTGAAGCCAAATTGCAATTTATATGCGCACAAGCGGCGCATAAAGAGCGTAGGCAAACAGCAGCGTTTACGGCGGCAGTCACATCAGCAGCTTTACTGTTATTGTATCCCGAATTGGCAGCTATAGAAACCCTAATAGAAATCCTGAAGCAAGTCTCAGTTAATTTTTTCTCGGTAATTGTTTTTCATTTAGATAGATGTCAAAAATGGGGGCCAGTTAAACGGTTAAACATTGTAAAAAAATGCATATTCATGAATAAAAAAGCCCCAATAAAATGCCCTAATTTTTCATCTTAAAATTTTATGGTCAATTTGACAGTTGCTTCCACGTGTATTGGACACCGAGAGCTTGGTCAAGCTTGCCGTCCTGGACATATCTTAACTCAATGCTTTCTGCAATTGTCCAATTTTGAAAAAGTTATTTCCTTGGATTGTTTCCCTAGAAAGTGGTCAAGTTGGTTTGATGCTCAAAGTAAGTATAAAATGTATCCAGCAATGTTCAAATAGCATTACAAGTAATAATTTAATTTTCTGACAAGCTTAAAAAACTTTTTATAAAAATACTGGTATTTTAATCTATTTACATCCAGTCAATATTTAACAATAATAACTCAGCTAAATAACGAGACGTAATTTTTCACATGCTGGTTATCCAAGTTAGTTTATGATAGTGCAAGAGAATACAGGTAATCGTACCACAGGATGAAAATACGTCAAATTTCCATGATGTTGAAACTGAGACTCTTGCTTCAAAGCCCCTAAAAAAATGAAATCCGTTCAAACTTCCAGCAATATCTCACAAACACAAAGATAACGACAATGTCACTTGTAATTTCGTCATAGTTAGATTAGAAAAACTTTACTTGATCCAGAAGAAAGGGGAGAAGGAAAGTCGGCGTGGACGGGGGCAGCTCATTTTTGCCCATCCATCAGCTCTCTCTGAGGCCAGCATCGACAGTACACGACTCCCCATCAATAAATATCTGCTCTTCTTGACAAAAACCACGACCGATTGAAGGCGTTCAGCCAGCCGAGAGGTGTTCACAATTTGGTAGGGAGAAGGAAAGCTTGTGAGTTTGTATACTTACAGAAAGAATGACGGTTATTAATGGCATCAGTAGCCATGCTGCGGGGTAACGCTTGTGGATATTAAACCTCGGGAACATAACTGTGGCAAATAATGGTGCAGGTTATACTGAACTCGCGAATTTATACAGAGGGAAATTGAAAGACACGTTTTCATTGCCGTAGACTTTTATATTATTTACGTTGCCTATCAGGAACATTGTTTTTTCTCACGAACTCTTGTATGGTAAATTTTTACTCTTTGTGTCTCCATTAATTCATAATTATTTCTGTAGGCTACGTTCCTATTGTATAATATTTTCGCTTCTAGCGACCAAACAAAAAATATATTCATCGTACAGGAAAATGGCAATGATTGATAATTTCATGACACATGATATATACCTCCCAAACATCAATGCTTATTGGACCCGACGTAACATTATCTTTGCAAACTCCATGTATTTGAAGGCTGGTTTTGCTGAGCGAACGGCCGGCGGTTTTTTTCTTTGTTTTGAGCAGAAGTCATGGAGGCTTCAGGCAGCTGCGCCTGACAGCCCGGTGATCGATTGCAATCAATGCTGAGCTGGGCACAATAGTCTCTTCCAAACAGTTGTGAAGCCATTGTCGGGAAACCTATGGAAATTTAGTACGTATACCCCTTCAGTGTGCGAGCAGATTGAGCTGCTTGCTCTTGGAGAACGAGCGGCAGTAGCTATGATTATCTTGAGATGAAACGAAGATGAAGGGAGGTAGCATCTTGTACTCGAGAAGGATTAAATTAACGAATTAGCATTTTTTTGTTCAGAACAGGTGAGAGTAAATGAGATTAGCATGTTAACTAATTAAGCAGTCAAAGTAGAATAACTTAATGTGTGTGTTTTATTGAATTTGGACATTAGCTGAAATAGCAATGAAAGATTCCCAAAACATCCGTTAAAAGTAGCTATTTGAAGGCTGTTAAGGAGAAATATAAACGAGTCTCTTTCAAAGTCATCTTGGTCAGACAAATCGTACATATTTACAATTCAGGTTACCAACATTGAAAACTTTTCTGTTTATTTGAATAGGCCCAAAAATTATTTCAATATTTAGGTGATGATTATTTTCAGGATCTCAGATGGACGGAAACATATTATAATGTTAAATTTATAGTTAAAAGTCATGTACTAATATTAATAAGTATAAATAAAAATACTTATAAGT